CGGTCACCTTGAAGATCATATCCCAAATTTAAAACTTCTACCCAAAGGGCTTGAAAGTCTTCAGAGGAAGAAATCTTAGACTTCAAATTTCATTAGAATTGCACGGTCTTTACCTACATTACAGAGTCTGAGCAGAATGACTGGAATGGAGAATGTGAATAATCAAAGCATATTAAATTACCCCTAACTGGCTTTTTTTTTTTTTTTTGTGGGGTGTGGGGAGTTTCAAGCCCTGGATGTCCTGGAACTCAGTCTGTAGACCAGGTTGGCCTGGAACTCACAGAGCTCCACCTGCCTCTGCCTCCTGAGTGCCAGGATTAAAGGTGTGAGCCACCATTGACCAGAAGCCCCAAACTGTCTTAACTTTCATTTTTCCAGAGCTTAATGACAAAAGAAAACGGGTATTCAAAACTAAAGCCAACAAATTATAGGGCTACTGTGTTATCATCCTTACTCTAAAGCCAACAAATTATAGGTTTACTCAATCGGAGTAAACCCCAAACAAAAATAGGTCCCAATTTGTAAAACAAACAAACAAACAAACAAACAAACAAAAACCTGCACTGCTAAAAACACGTGCAGGTGCAATGCATAGTTACCACAACCAGCAGGTCCTGAGACGTTCGTGCTATAATGGTAAACCAAAGACAAATACCAACTAAGAGTGGTTTATTTAACAACCTGGTCGACAGAGCAAGTTTCTGAGCCAAGAGTCAAGCGTCTTAACTCTGTTCAATATGCTACAACACTTGGCACACACTGAAAGTGTTATTTCCAGGGTCATTTTTTTCAACAAGACAGTGGTAAAAAAAAAAAAGTGCTGAGAATGACGCCCCGACTTGGGAAAAACCAGTGCTCAGGTGCATGCGCGTCAGCTAACTTATGCAAGGCACATGCGCATTAGCTAACTTACCTAGAGAGGCTGCATAGTGCACTCGCACCGCTGCCCTCGAAGCAACCACCGCCGGCGCCAAAAGAGCGGGCATTGGTGAAAGCTGTGCTGAGTGGGGCCAGGGAAACGAGTCAGGATCCCTAGGATCAGCTCAACGGGTCACGTTCCTTCCCACTACCTCTCATGCCTGCTTTACTGAACTACAATTCAGATACTACAGAATTTATTTCTTTAAAAGAAAAAAAAAACAACAAACTTACCCATTAGTAGACATTCTTTATTTTCACCCAACTCTAAGCAACCACTAATCTATTTCAGTCTTTGCTGCTAAATCATATCTCACTATATGATACAGAACGTAGCTGGAGTTTCCCTCCTGCCAGGTCCCACTGCCGCTTCAGCCCCAAATGAACACACAGAGACGCTATACTAATCATTAAACTGTTGGCCAATGGCTAGGGCTTCCTACTGGCCAGCTCTCCCCCCCGAATATCAACCCATTTCCACCAATCTGAGTATTTCAATGTTGTCCCATCTCAAGGTTATTCCTTCCTTGGCATCCCCTCTTAGTCTCTATCTCTGCCTACCTTTCCCAGAATTCTCCTCATCTCCCAGTTCCGCTCACCTTCCTGCCTCTATTGGCCAAGCAGTGTTCCATTCACCAACCAACAAGACAAACACTTATACAGAAGGACGTCCCTCATCAACAGAACCTAAGTTCTTTTCTTCACAAGCAGAAGAAGCTCTTGGCTGTATCAACAACGGTGACCACAGTTGCTAAGAGACTCACAGGCTCCTGTGATAGCTTATGGCAGAAATTATAACATTAATTACAAAAGAGTAAGTTTTGGGGGGAGGGGACTTAATTACTGTTTTGTTTTTAACTAGTTCGAGATGCTTAACTTTGTAGAAATGACATCAAGACTAATGGAAATTCTGTGAGTGAAGCTCCTTGACAAGTCAAATGATTACGTTTCCCCTTCTAAATTATGGGGAAAGAAGCTAGAGACATAGCTCAAAGTTAAATGCACTTACTGCTCTTAAAAAAAATCCAGGTTCAGTTCCCAGAACCCTCAATATTGGCTCACAACTACCCACAACTCCAGGTCCAGTGGCTATGACACCTCTTCTAACCTGCACATACACATGCAGGCAAAACATCCATACACAGAAAATAAAAAATAAACATCTTCATTTTGTTTTGTTTGGGCATTTTTTGTCTCAATAGTTTTTTGTGTTAAATGTTATGTGGGTTTTTTCTTTTTTTGAAAGAAAAAATATAATGCTGGGTGGATAGGAGATGGGGAGGATCTGGGAGGAGTTGGGGGAGGGGAAAACATGACCAAATATATTGCATGAAAAATAAATTCTAAATAAAAAAATTGCTAGGCAGGTGTGGTGGCGCATGCCTTTAATCCCAGCCCTTGGGAGGCAGAGGCAGGTGGATCTCTGTGAGTTTGAAGCCAGACTGGTCTACAAAGAGAGTTCCAGGACAGCCAGGACTGTTACACAGAGCAGGAGGATCACAAGTTCAAGGTTATCCTCAGTTACCTGACTAATCCTAAACCAATCTGGGCTACATGAGAACTTGTCTTTAAAAAGAAATCTTGAGCTTACCTTAAGTTTTTGTTTTGTTTTGTTTTTGAGACAAGGTCTCTCTCTATGTTGCCTCAGCTAGCTTAGAACTTGCTATGTAGACTAGGCTGACCTAGAACTCACAGAGGTCTGCCTCCCATGCGCTGGTGGTATTAAAGGCCCACTGGCAAGCTTACTCTAATTTGATAATTGGCAATAATGAAAATTCAGAAAACTAGAAACACCGTTCGTCATTAGTGGAAGCACAATTATTTGTAAAACTATTTTTTTTGTAGTGCTAGGGATTGAACCTAGGTGCCTCTGTGCTATAGGCTCAACCTCATCCAATTAGAAAACTCTTGTGCCAAAGAGTGTTTGTGTTCATATCTGTGAAAATCATTTAGAGCCAAAACAACTAAAGTCTAAAACTCTACCATACCTAAAACAAACAAGCAAACAAAGCAAAACCCCCAACTAATAATAGAAATCTAGGTAGTTTGAGTTAAAAGATTATAAATATTGAGTTAAAAGATTATAAATATGCCAAAATACTTTAGCAATAAAGAGTCCCCACAGAAACAACTGACCTGAACAAGGCGGAGCTCATGGACACCAAGAGTGACAGCTGGGAAACCAGCATAGGACTGAACCAGGCCCCCTGAACAAGGATGTCAATTTGGAGGTCTGGGCAATCTATGGAGCCTCTGTTAGTGGATCAGTATTTATCCCTAGTACACGAATGGACTTTGGGAGCCTGTTCCACATAGAAGGATACTCTCTCAGCCTAGACACTCGGGGGAGGCCCTAGGCCTTGTTCCAAATAGTATGACAGACTTTGAAGATCCCCCAAGGAAGGTCTCACCCTCCCTAGGAAGCAGAAAGAAGATGGGATAGGGGCTCGGTGGGGGGCAGGAGGGGTGGGAAGGGAGAGGGAGCTGGGATTGACATGTAAAACAAGCTTGTTTCTAAGTTAAATTTTAAAAAAAGGGGGGGATAATAAAGGGTCACCTGGCAAGGGTGGAATCCGAAATTGGCTTCTAATACTGGTGCTCAAGATACAACTATTTCTCGGGTGCTGTTAGAGAGCATTCAGTCTTACCCTCTTAATACCATGAACTGTCAAATCGCTTTTTTCAGTCACTCATTTCAGAGGAATGACTTCTTACACATGCAAGAAGCATCATCAAGCCGATCCAAAATACCCTTCCCATCCATCCTGTCAGAGGTCTTTTTTTTTTCTCTTCCCTTTTTTTTTTTTAAGTTAGAAACAAGCTTGTTTCACATATCAATCCCAGCTCCCTCTACCTCCCCTGCTCCCCCCCTGTCAGTGGTCTTTTAACAGGGAACACGGTGGACAACGTGTGGGGGGCATCGATCGGTAGCTGTTTTTCCCCCATCGGCGTGGTAGATTTTTGCGATCGGCTACTCACAACGTCTACTAGGTCCCCCTGGTGACCAAAGAGTGCGCGGAAGGCAGCGGTGGGGTTGGTTCCAAAGCCGGCTGGCAGCGGAACACACACACACACACACACACACACACACACACAATCATGAAAAATTAACACGCCAACAGTACACGCGACGTGACTGAGGATTGCGCTCGCACCGCTGGGGCGCTGACTGGAGAGAGAGAGAGACGCGCAACCAACCGGTCGCTACCCTCTTTCTCCCTTTTTTCCAAGGCGAAAATGCCCGTCGCCTCAATCCGGCCGGCCGATCCCTCCCCTCCCATTTAAACCAGGGTTGGGATCCGGAGCCTCAAACCCCAGGGGGTTCTTCTCGCGGGCTTGGGACTCGGGGACCCACGGCTGTCAACCATCGGTCATGACTCCCTGAAATAATGGAAGCATGACACACCACCCTTTTTTTTTTTTTATTTCCCCAACCCGAGTCAGGAATGGCAGGTCTGGGGGCCCTGGAGGAAAGGGGGGAGCGCGCCGAGGAGGGAGGGAAGAACCGCGGCGGCACGTCCCGGGCCGGGACTCGGAGGGGCGCGGGGCGCGGGGCTGGGGCGGCGCCTGGGGAGCGGGGAGCGGGACCGAGGGACCCCTGGGGCGAACCGGGACCGAGGAGGGCGCGCCGCCAGGTGCCGGCCGGTCCGCAGGAGGCGGCGGGGGGCGCGCGCGAGTGCGCGCGGGGAGGGAGGGAGGGAGGGAGGACCGGGCGGTGCGCAGCGCAGCGCAGCGCGCGGCAGCGCAGGGCAGGGCGCGTGGCGGGGCCCGCTGCCGGCCGGCCGGCCTACCTGGAGGTAGTGGGGTTTCCTCAGCCAGGCCCCCGCGCAGAGACTCCTCGCCATGGCACTCACATCGCCCCGCCGCGCCGCAGTCGGAGGCGGACCCGAGCGCGCCCGCCCGCCCGCCTCCCCGCCCCTGCCCCGCCGGCCGGGCCCCGCCCCACGGCCCGCCCACGGCGCGCGCTCCCCCGCAGCCCGCGCTGCGGCGAGGGCGGCGAGGGCGGCGGGGGCGGCGAGCGCGGCGAGCGGCTCTGCGCGCCGAGTCCCCGCCCACACCCCCACCCCGCCGCCGCAGCCGCAGCCGCCGCCGCCGCCGCCGCCGCGGGGCTGTCAAGGCGCGGTTCGCCGGCCCCCTCCGTAAAAGGGAGTCTCGGGCCTCGCGTCCGCCGACACAAATCCGCCTGCGCCGTGGTGCTTAAAGGGGAGGCGCGGACGTGGGAGGGGCGGGGGTGCGCCGAGCGTGGGGACCCCCCGTGGAGCGAGCGCCCCTCCGCTCCGCCGTTCCGGGCTCGCAGCTCCCCCCATGCTGGCGGAGCGTGGCGGTCCGTCCGCGCTCCTCCCTGGACCTAGGTGAGCCGGTTGCACCGACATCTGGAGGACGCTTGCAGCGGCTGCTTCCTAGGGAACCGGCTCAGAGTCCTCCTGTTAGGGGAAGGAGGTGCCCGCGGCCCCGGAGATGTCGCCACCAGTATCTGAGGGAGGACGGTGCTCCTTCCCGCTCAGTTCTGCGTAGCCTTCCAGCCACTTCGCCGCTTTTCGTACCTTCAACTTTTTTTTTCTTTTCTTTTCCTTTTTTTTTTCCTTAACAACTTTGACCTTTTTCTCTTTTTAAGTTTGCATTGTTTGCAAGATAGCTTCAGAGTTTTCTTGCCTCTGCCACAGAATCCTGATTCAAAGGTAAAAAAAAAAAAAGAATAAATGGCGAATTAAATACAGTTATGAAGGCAGGAGCCCTCCTAGGACGTGGCGGAGCAACCGAGTTAAGGCTACACAACGCAGGGCGTGGCGCCCTTCTTGGTTACTAAGGGACAAATAAGGGAAAAGGAGCCACCCTAGAAGGAGCATAGCTATTGATCTGAGTGACTTTAACGCAGGAAGATGCTGTTCCTAATTAAATTTTTCCTCGTATGCTGTGCCTTCATTCGATACCCACTAAGTCTGTGTTTCGAGTGCTTTCAGTTTCTGGAGACAGGTTTTTAACCTGGGTAGTATTTGTTGCTTGCAAGTAAATACATTATCCGCTGACTTTCATTTTGAATTAGGTGACTCCAGTAATTTCTAAGATGCAGGCGAATATGAGCAGGGCATGGCTGACTCATGCCTGCAATTTCAGGCCTTGGGAGGTGTAAGCAGGATCAGAGGTTCAAGGCCAAGCTCGACTACTTAAGACAGAGACAGGAGAAGGGGAGTGGAGGTTTCGTTTAATATTTTAAACTTCTATTATGTGTATAAGTGTGTGATAAAGGCCAAAAGTGGGCGATAGAGCTGGAATTACATTAACTGTTCATAAGCTGCCCTTCTTGGGTGCTGCTAACCAAACTCGGGTATTCTGAAACAGCAGGAAGCCCTCAGAACAACAGAGCCAAACTACCCAGCCCCTCGATAAACGTTTTCTTAGTACCCAGACACTGTTCAAATTGTCCTGCTGTATACACAGAAAGACAAAGAAGGCAAAATCCCTCCCTATGTGGATATTGCATTGTGGAGATGGGGAGACGGACAATAGATAATAAACACGGTGACTATAGGAAAGTCTGGTTAATAGCCAGTTGCAGTGTCATATACCTGTAGTCATAGTACTTGGGAGGTGTAAGAGGAACAAGGATTCAAGACCAGCCTCAGCCCGGCCAGCCTGTTTTGTTTTGCTGTCGTTGTTTTTTTATTTTTTTAGCAAAGCAGCTCCCAGTTGGGAGTTCTCCAGTCCCAGACCTGGAGGCAGAAGTCACACACCTGAGCTAAAGCAGGGAGGTTATACAGCCTGTAGGCAAGAGGTGATGATGTGTCTGTTGCAAGCTGGGTTTGTGCCCAAGTATGGTCAAAAACTGGAAGCTTAGGTGGGGGCTTGGGCTGCTGGCAACTTCAAGGGAGGAGCAGCCACAGCAGCCATGAATGCAGAACTGGGCTTTTTGACATTGTTGGGGATTCTCTGAGAAGGCAGAGTTTGGAGAAGGGGGGGAGGGCATTTCCAGATCCAGCAGGAGTAAGCTAGAGATTCCAGCTGAACGAATACTAAACTGGAAACTGGGAATTGGCCAGTCAGTGGTGGTGCACGCCTTTAGGCAGAGGCAGGCCGATCTCTGTGAGTTCAAGGGGTTTCAGGATACCCAATATTACACAGAGAAACCTTGACTTAAAAAAAAACAGCTGGGCATTGGTGGCGCACACCTTTAATCCCGGCACTCGGGAGGCAGAGGCAGGCAGATCTCTGTGAGTTCGAGGCCAGCCTGGTCTACACAGCGAGTTCCAGGTCAGCCTCCAAAACAATACAGAGAAACCCTGTCTCGAAAAAAACCAAACAAAAACAAAAAACATACAAGCAAAAAAAAAAAAACTGGGAATTGACCACTGGGTTTACTCATTGGTGACATTTTAATGGATCAGTGGGATATGAAAGTAGGTTTAAGAAAAAAAAAAAGTAGGGTGAGGGGCTCATTGTTAAGAGCACTGGCTGCTCTTCCAGGGGAAGAGTTTCATTGCCCAGCACACACATGGCAGCTCACAAACAAAGAAGCACCTGTTAGAGTCCACCTTTCCAAATCACTTGCTATGACTTTAACTGAGAAGTTACGAAGTCAAAAGCCAAAGGAACCAGACTGTAGATGAAAGTTTCTATCCCTCCTGGTCCTGCAGCTGTTTAGTCCCAAATAAACACACAGAGGCTTATATTAATTATAAACTGTTGGGCCCATGGCTTCGGCTTCTTATTGGTTAGCTCTCTCTCTCTTTCTTTCTCTCCCTCTTCCTCTCCCTCTCCCCTCTCTTTCTCTTCCTCTCTCTCTCTCGGTTTTTTGACAGGGTTTCTCTGCATTGTTTTAGAGGCCGTCCTGGAACTCGATCTGTAGACCAGGCTGGCCTCGAACTCACAGAGATCCTCCTGCCTCTGGCTCCTGAGAGCTGGGGTTAAATACTTGTGCCACCACTGCCAGGCTTCAATACTGTTCTTTTTTATATATTTATTTGTTTGTTTGTTTATTATGCCTACATGCCAGAAGAGGGCACCAGATCTCATTACAGATGGTTGTGAGCCACCATGGGGTTGCTGGGAATTGAACGCAGAAGCTCTGAAAGAGCAGTCAGTGCTCTTAACCTCTGAGTCATCTCTCCAGCCCGATACTGTTCTTCTTAACAAGTTTGTTGGCATAAGACACAGTGTTGTAGACTTTTTTTGTTTGTTTGTTTGTTTTTGTTTTGTTTTTTGTTTTTCGAGATAGGGTTTCTCTGTATTGTTTTGGAGGCTGTCCCGGAACTCACTCTGTAGACCAGGCTGGCATCAAACTCACAGAGATCCACCTGCCTCTGCCTCCAGAGTGCTGTGATTAAAGGCGTGCACCACTGAAGCCCAGCCCGTAGAATATTATTTTAAGATGTGTTACATTTGTTTATGCTGTGGAACATTTGTTTAATGATACAAAGATGTGTTGCATTTGTTTAACTCTGTGAAGCTGTGTTACTTTGCCTGTGTAAAACACCTGGTTGGTCTAATGCAGAACTGAATGTCCAATAGCAAGGCAGGAGAAAGGACACGTGGGGCTGCCAGGCAGAGAGAATAAAGAAGAGGAGAAACCTGGAGAAAAGATGGAGCAAGCAAAGGAGGCATTGAGGAGGACTCCAGGGGCCAGACACCCAACTACACAGCAAGCCACAGAGAAAGAAGTAAAGAAAGGTACATAGACATGGAGAAAGATAAAAGCCCAGAGGCAAAAGATAGAATAATTTAAGAAAAGTTGGCTAGAAATAAGTCAAGCCGGGCTGGAGGGATGGCTCAGAGATTAAGAGCACTGTCTGCTCTTCCTGAGGTCCTGAGTTCAACTCCCAGCAACCACATGGTGGTTCACAACCATCCAATCATCCGTAATGAGATCTGGTGACCTCTTCTGGCATGTAGGCATACATGCAGGCAGAACAATGTGTAATAACTATAACAATAAAAAAAAAAGTCACCGGGCGGTGGTGGCGCATGCCTTTAATCCCAGCACTCGGGAGGCAGAGGCAGGCAGATCTCTGTGAGTTTGAGGCCGGGCTGGACCGACTGCCTCCAAAACAATACAGAGAAACCCTGTCTCGTAAAAAAAAAAAAAAAAAAAAAAAAAAAGTCAAGCTAAGGCAGGGCATTCATAAGAAAAAAAAAGTCTGTGTGACTTATTTGGGGACTGGGTGGTGAGTCCTCCTGATGGGGGAAGTCCTTCTATGTATATTTCTATGTATATGTTTGTCTTATTGAGTGATAAATAAAGCACTGTTAGCCAATAGGGCAGCAAGATAGGTGGGACTAGGAGTCGAGGAGGATTCTAGAAAAGGTAGGATCCTGGGAAGAGAGGACCTTATAGAAATATATACATTAGTAGTTATGGGTTAATACTTAAGACAGAGCTGGCGAATAAGAAGCTCTAGATATTGGGGTCGGGCTGGACCAACAGCATTGTAACTAATAGAATCTCTGTGTGTTATTTGGGGTTGAGGAAACACTGGGACCAGGCTGGCAGGAAGTTATCATAACATTATGGTGCCCAATGTGGGGCAAAAATTTCCAAATAAATCTAACTAAAGTATAAAAGGGATTTTAAAAACAAAAGAACAGGGCCTGGAGAGATGGCTCAGAGGTTAAGAGCACTGACTGCTCTTCCAGAGGTCCTGAGTTTAATTCCCAGCAACCACATGGTGGCTCACAACCATCTGTGATGATATCTGGTGCCTTCTTCTCATGTGCAGACATACATGGAGGTAGGATGTTGTATTCATAATAAATAAATAAATCTTAAAAAAAAAAAGCAGAGACAAACATGGCTTCTTGGTAGCAGCATTTTCTCCAGCGGGCTCTATTTTGCTAGAGACAAGCAGAGACTTGCACAGCTCCTTTAAGGGAGGAGCCCTTCCTGACTCAGCATAAAGGGGAGAATACTCATGGTTCTTTTAAGCTTCAGAATTGAAAGCAAGAAAGGTTGGGCAATTAGCCTGTGAAGCAAGGATTACATTAAAAAAGAATTCAAGGACTGCGTTACAGCTCAGTGATAAGAATGCATGGAACTAGGATGCATGAAGCCCTGGTTTTGATTGACACCAATAAGGGAGGGAACAGCAAGAGTGAGTGAGTAAGAGCGGGGGTGGTGGTCATCTTTATCTGAAACTTCTAGATAACACAACTACAAATAAATGCTTTCTGTAAGCTGTGTGGCCTGTATTTACCTCTTTCGTCAATATAGTATGGAGTTTTCACAATCCAAGACAGTAAGTGCATTTACACCCCAAGAAAAATTAAATATGTCACAATTATTTAATCATGAAAGAAGAGGTAAGCCGGGCGTTGGTGGCACACACCTTTAATCCCAGCACTTGAGAGGCAGAAGCAGGTGGATCTCTGTGAGTTCGAGGCCAGCCTGGTCTACAGACCGAGTTCCAGGACAGTTAGGGCTACACAGGGAAACCTTGTCTGGCTGGGGGTGTGGGTGAGCAGCCCATATAATTTGGTGCTAGGATTTTGTCTGATTTGAAGCATAATAATATAATTCTGGAAATTAAGATATGCTCTAATGAAAATGTCATACTAAAATTTTTTTTGTGTTGGCAGTTCATAGTGAGTGTCACAAATGTCAGAGCTCAATATCACATGAAACAAGAAAGTTACTGAAAAGATCACCGTATTATGGTGGCTGCCATCTTCAGAGGACTGTGAACTTGCCCTAAGGCCTCCAGCAAGAGTCTCCATGGTTTTTGTTTGTTTTGTTTTGTTTTTCTTTGTCAACTTTCATCATGGGACTATTGGAATGGCATTTCACCGTGCAGCCTCACTGTTCTTGTGTGTAGCAGGATAAGCCATGCTCTCCGCAGAAGAGGAAACTTAGAGAGACAGACATCAAGAGGTAACTACCCTAGAAGCAGTGTTAGAGCTCCATTCCGTTGGGTAATTCGTGGTGTGTTCTTCCTCCTGGTGACCAGCTGAGGGCACTTCCCAATCCTCTTGTAGAAAGGATTAACCACCCAATGCCAAGAAACGCCAGAGCAAATACCTTACAGCACCCAGATGTTTCCTTATTTGATTACTCCTAGGAAAATCAACGAGGACCAACCAGTGCTCAAAATGTGATAAGGGTTCCAGGTATCTTTTTTTTAAACTACATTTTATTAATTTACTGGGCGACACATGTATGAAGGTCAGAAGACAACCGTCGGGGGTCAGTTCTTTCCTTCTTCCATCGTGTGGGTCCCAGGGGTTAAACTTACCTCGTCAGACTTGGCTGCAAGTGCCTTTACCTACAGAGCTGTCTCACCAGCCTTACGTCTAAATACCTATGGGATAGCTCATGTTTTCCTGAGCGTTTTTCTTTTCCTTTTTTTCTGGTGCGATGTTTAAATTCGATGAGCCGCTGGAGACTGCCCAGATTGCTATTTTCTGGCTGTGTGATCTTGGGCAGATGATTTCAAAACCTCCATGTCTTTACTACATGACCCTTAGGGGTTGATTCACTTGTATGAGAATTAAATGAGGTTATAAGTTATAAAATGCATAATACATTGCTTAATACGGGGGTAAGTAAACACTGGACACACACAGGAGATTTTTTTTTAAAACAGACACATTTCTGAAACACCTCCTATAATGCCACACGTGACTACTGTTTTTACTGTAAAAAATTTTTTTTCAGGGAAGCCCAGGCAGTGGTGGCGCACACCTTTAGTCCCAGCACTTGGGAAGCACAGGCAGGCAAAGCTCTGTGAGTTCAAGGCCAGCCTGGTCTACAAAGCCACACAGAGAAACTCTGTCTCAATAGATAGATAAATAGATAGATAGACAGATATTTTCTTTGATCCCGGCACTCAGGAGACAGAGGCAGGCAGATCTCTATGAGTTCGAGACCAATCTGGTCTACAGAGTGAGTTCCAGTGCTGGGATTAAAGGTGTGTGCTACCAACATCCAGTTCAAAAGACTTTTGAAACATAGATTTTCTTTTCTTTCTTTGGTTTTGGTCTTGGTTTTGGTTTTTCAAGACTGTTCTGGAACTCCATCTGTAGAGCAGGCTGGCCTCAAAACTCAGAGATCTGCCTGCCTCTGCCTCCTAAAGTGTCGGGATTAAAGGTGTGCACCACCACTGCCAGGTTAAACATAGCTTTTTTTTTTTTAATCTAAATACAGGGGTTAAGAGAAAGGGAAAATTTCCGGGAAATAAGACAGGTCCATGTATGTGCTAGCCCTATGAACCTCTGGGGTTGGTGCTTCTCAAACTATGTCTCAGAAGCTGGCCACTGGTGGCACACACCTTTAATCCCAGCATTTAGGAGGCAGAGACCAGCCCGGTCTACAGAGTTTGTTTCAGGACAGGCTCCAAAGCTACACAGGGAAACCCTGTCTCAAAAAACAAAACAAGCAAACAAAATGTCTCAGAAAGGTTTTGAACCTCCCCACCCTCACTTTTTCCTTTATTAAATACTTCAAAAATTATTTCTCTTTACATTTTATTTATATTGTGCATGTGCACGTTTGCACCAAGGCACAAGTGTGTGCCAGAGGACACCTGATGGAAATCTGCTCTCTTCTTCCGCCCTGTGGGACCCAGGAATCAAACCCAGGTCCTCAGGCTCGATGCAAGAGGTCTTTACTCACTGAGCTCACGTATTGCTTTGTGTTAGGTGAGATTCTAGGTGTCTCCAGTGGCCTGGGATGGATTCTATAGAGTAAAACCGGGAGCCAGTAAGACTCCTTGTAAAGGGGTTTTCTGATGAGACTTTTAGGAAATCGCAGGTTTGTAGAAAGGAAGAGAGGGAGGCCTCGCTCACTTGTTAACTGTGCTGCAGTTTTGCCTCTCAGCTGGAAGGAGGAGGCTTCAACCATACTTTCCAGTTTCTGTGCCCCCACATTTTCCCTGTCTTTCTACCCTGTCTGAGTGTCGTCTCAGCAAGAGGTCTGGGCGGCCGGAGGTTAAGTACCAGGCAGAGAATTCCCCACGGAAATCTTGACTCGCAGGCTAAACACTGTCTAGAAATAACGTTCTTTCTTGTGCAAGGAGCTCGTAGTTGGACTCCCTGGACTGGGTTTTCCTTTTTCCTACCGCTAACAAATGGTCTGGCCGCGTGACATGAGAGCTGCCGATTTCCTTCACTTTTGGAAACTGTCTGCTGCTCTCATCCTGGGTACTGTGGAGTTCTTAATTGCTACCAGCAGATGCTTCTGCGCTGATTCAATTTGGCAAGAGACTCCGAGCATCTGGGGACAAGTTGGGAACTGGAAATGGACCCTGCCCATTGACTCAGACGGGACAAGAGGGCTTACTTCTTAATCCCGTACCAAGTTAGAACTTGCCAGTGTCGAGGGCATCCTAATCCGTACCTCTACGGGTCTCGTTTTGTTCCGGGAATGACTTTCATATTGAAACAGAAGTAGTGACAGCTGGCATAGTGTTACATTCTCCCTCTTGAAAGACTAACAAAGTGCTATAGTTCTGCAAGTCTGGTGACATTCCTCACTCTGTGAAGCACAAATTTCACAGAACAGTTCCCCTTACCCAGGTCATTTGGGGAAGCAATCTCTCCTCTCCCAGACAAGAGGAATTCATGGTTTACTTCCCTCGTTTAAGCTAGAATAAGGGAATCTATGTTTCATTTTTGTTTGGTCTTAGGCTGTATCCCAGGCTGGCCTGGAACTTACTAGGTAGCCCAATGTCCTCCAACTTTCAGTAATCCCCCTGCCTCTGTAGTGTTGGGGTTACAGGCACGAGTCATCACACCTATATAAAAAACCTGGCCGGGCGTTGGTGGTGCACGCCTTTAATCCCAGCACTTGGGAGGCAGAGGCAGGCGGATCTCCGTGAGTTTGAGGCCAGCCTGGTCTACAGAGCGAGTTCCATGACAGCCTCCAAAGCCACAGAGAAACCCTGTCTCGAAAAACAAAACAAAACAAAAAAACCTGTCCTTATGTGATAAGGTAAGTTACTTTCTGCCGTGCTTTACCCTAAAAAATTGGCAGCAAAAGTGAGGACATTTCCTCACAAGGTAAATTCCTTTGTCATTGGATTCATGGATGAAGATTAATAGATCCCATCTTTCCCTCCTAACATTGCTTCCTCTGCAAACTCTGACAGGCAGCTCTGGCTAACCAGCAGTCTCTCTCAGATTCCTGGTGAGGATTCTTTAAATGGATTTGGAGTAGGTAACCTGATATTGGAGCCCAGCTCTAGTTTTGTAGGCTTAGGTAAGTTGCACGGGTTTCTAGTTTTCTGTTCTCTAGCCTAGTTAAAAATAAATGTTACTGTGCTTAAATTCCAGGTAGTATCTAAAAGTGTCTTAGGAGCTAGGGGTGTATTTTAGCGGAGAAACACTTCCCACACGGTTCTGGGTTCCACTTCTATCGTGAAAAGAAAAAGAAAAAAAGGGAATATAGAGTGTTTCACATACTGCAGATGTTCTATCAAAACTGTCCTGACAGTGACACATTGTTCCCTTGACAGGAGACTGTCTTGACACAATGCAATAATGGGTCTTGTGTTTTTGGGAACCGGAGAGTTATGGTGGTACTGCAACACTAAGCTTTATGCTCTGCCTCTGACTTAGGAAAGAAACATGTCAGGAATTGTGAATCACACCCTGTATTCCAACCCTTGGGAGGCTGAGGTGGTGGAGTTGCTGCAAGTTAAAGGCTGGCCTGGGCTATATGTGACACACCCTAATATACCAGAGCATGGCTATGTAATCTTCGCACTTGGGAGGGAGAAGCAGGAGATCATGCTGACATCTGTGTGATGCACATGATTCATGTGTTAAGTTAATAAAACCAAACCTTTAAAAAGTTGAGATAGGAATGGTGAAACAGCCCGCCCAGCTAGTACTCACCAAGCAAGCCTGGTGACACATAGTTCAACCCCTGGAACTTATGATAAAACGAAGAGCCATGACTTCCAAAAGCTCTTCTACGTTCACACACATCCTCACACACATACCTATACCAATAACACAATAAATATTTCGAAACGTTAAAAATGAAAACGCCAGGCAAAGGGAACGTTTAAAAGGTAGGAAAGATAAAGAGGCGTGGATAGAAAGACAGACAGAACCGTGGGAACGTGAGAAGGGAAAAGAGCCCTTGGACCCAGAGCGCGGACGAGCAAGAATCCCCAGCACAATTAGCGGTGGCTTAGCGGTGGCTTAAGGCCTTCCTCCATTCGCAGCTGTAAACCTGCCATTTTCTAGGAATCTCACTGAAAACTCCATTTATGAGACGACTGTGAGCTCCTGCTGTCCTAGTGGCTCCTGGCTTTACCTGATCGGTCTGAAGTACCATTCCACCCAAGGCGTATTATATTCAGAGACTTCCTATACTCTCCCTCATCAAAAAAGAGAGAAAGGAAAAGGGCCAGGAGTGGGTAATTCTTGTCAGTCTTCTGAGACGTGGCTTAAAAAGCATTACGGTGGTACAACATGGATAATGCGAGCAGCTTGGCTGGGACTCGCCCTCCAGGAGCCTGTAAAACCACACTTGTATGTCGCACTTGCCGCAGCTTTTCCTTCGAGAAGGCTATACACCCTTGCTCTTAGTGTGCTTTTATCTTTTACGGGGGGTATCTTTCTACCTTTAGTAAAACCCTAACTCTGTTTCACGCCCACTGGTCCTGAAATTCTTTCCTACATCAGAGCCATGAAGCTCTGTTTGGCTGAGGTCGAGGTCCCAAAAAACAAGCAGGGGGACTCCTGAGGATGCTAAGGGTGACAGCGTGGAGCTGCTGAAAACAATACCTTGGCCTAGAAAGATGGCTCAGTGGTTAAAAGTGCTTGCTGTCAAGCCTCATCGGAGAGTTTCCTGTTAAAAGACTGCAATTCCCAGCGTCCCTTGCGCCAGGAAGGGCGGGACTACGGGAAGAAATGTGCCCCCATCACTTTTCCGCTTTTTTTTTTAAAGATTTATTTATTTATTACAAACACAACACCCTGCCTCCATCTACACACCAGAAGAGGGCACCAGATCTCATTACAGATGGTTGTGAGCCACCATGTGGTTGCTGGGAATTGAACTCATGACTTCTGGAAGAGCAGTCAGTGCTCTTAACCTCTGAGCCATCTCTCCAGCCCTCACTTTTCCACTTTTACAAAGTGCCACTACTTTTTTTTTTCTCCTTCCCCATAGGCATCCTCTCCTCCACCTGCCTGGCGGTGGACACATGGCACAGTTTCCTGTAGATGAGACTATGCCCCTTCGGCGAGTGGTCAATAAACATGGGCCCGGCTGTCTAAGGTCAGCGCGCTTTGAGATGCATGGGAAGCAGGGAGGTGGTGGTACGCTCCTGGAGGCAGAGGCAGGCAGATCCCTGTAAGTTCGAGGCCAGCCTGGCCTATAGAGTGAGCTCTAAGGGCTACACAGTGAAACCCTGTCTCGAAAAAACAAGCAGCAACAACAACAAAAAAAAAAGCATCAGAACTAACCTGGTGATCTCAGAGTTCCACCCCTGGGACCTACAAGGTAGAGAACTGACTCCCACGAGCTGTGCTCTGACCACCACATACATGCACATG